CCTCCTGGGGCTCTCTTGGGGCTCTCTTGGGGCCGTCTGTGGACCCTGTCGGACCGTTTGGGGACCCTCTTGGCCGGTCTTGGGGCCCTCTTTGGCAACTTTCGGACTCTTCCGGGGACCTCTTCGGTCGTCTTGGGACGATCTTTGGAGCCTCTGAGGCTGCTGTCGGCCGTTCTTGGCCGAAAACCCAAAAAACTTGAAACAACACGAAAACACAATAGAATTATGTCTCCTCGGGCTCTCGTGGAAAGCCTCCTTGCGGCTATTTGGAGCGTCTTTGGGGCCTCTTTGACCGCCGTTGAGCCATCTTGGGGCGTCTCGGGGGTTTCTTGGACCGTCGTGGAGCGAACTGAGGCCGTCTTGGAGCGCTCTGGGGCCGTCTTGGGGCCCTCTTGGGCCGTCTTACGGATATCGGGGGCCGTTTTGGGCCCCCGCAAAGGCTGTTAGACTTTCCGGCCGGCCGCCCCCCCCCTGGACCCCCCCCCATGGGCTGACGCCCTACCAAGAACGGAACCGCGTGAACGCTCTTTCCGTCACCTGCTTGGCATAGGGACGGAAAGCGCGGGTTCTGTGTGTGAGAGCGCGAGGTCGCTGGCTAGTGTCTTGGAGCCCTCCTGGTGTGAAGGTTTCGGTACGACATACAAAAATCTTGCAACAAAACCTTGCGGAAATCAGTGAACCTTGCATTTCCGGGCCTTCCCGAGAGTCCGTTTGGGGCCTTTGGGGCCGTCTTGGGGCCCTTTTGGGCCGTCCTGCGACCCTGTTGGGCTGTCTTGGCGGGCTTGCCGTCTTGGGGCTCTCTGCGGGCGCTCTTGGGGACCTCCTGTGGCCTCCTGTGGCCCTCTCGGGGCTCTCTTGGGAACCTTGCGGGACTCTCTGGGACCCGTCTCGGGCCGTCTTGGAGCTCTCTTCGGCCGTCCTGGAGCCCTTTGGGGCCGTCTTGAAGCGCTCTTTGGGGCCTCTCAGGCCGTCCCGGGGCGGTCTTGTGAGCCTCATGGGCCACCTTGGACACCGTGAAGACCAAAGAAGCGAATCTGCGAAAAAGTCAAGTTTTCCTCAGAGAATGGGGCGATGTTTGCCTCTCGGAGCTCCCCTTTGGGGGCCTCTTGGGACGCCTTGAGGTCCTCTTGGGCTGTCTTGAAGCCATGTTGGGCCCTCTTGGGGCGCTCTTGGGCCGTCTTCGGGCCCTCTTGGACCTCTCCGACGCCGTCTTTGGCGCGTTTGGGGCTGTCTTGGGCCGTCTTGGGGGCCTCTCAGGCGCTCTTGGGGCTGACTTGGGCCGTCTTGGGCCGAACATGGCCGAAATTACGGCGATTAGATCTGGGGCTCCGGCTGCCTACCCCTCCACCTTCCCTTGTTCTCCCGACTGACGGATCGCTACGCCACGCGCGCTTTCCGTCATCTGAGGCCCAGGCTGCGAGGCTGCGTACCCCCGACTAACAGATCGCGACGCTACGCGCGCTTTCCGTCATCCGCCGCCCCAGGTGGCTTGGTGCTTTTTGAAAACTCCTAGTGGGGTTTCGGCCCAGCCCGCCGGCCACCCGAAGAGCTCCCAGACCTCGTTCTCCGTCGGCCCCAGCGGATCCAAGACGGCCCAGATGGCCCGAAGTAGCCCCCAGGCTGCCTCCAAGACGGGCGAGGTGGCCCCAAGAGACGGGCGAAGAAGGCCCCGAGATCGCCCCAAGACGGCCCAAGAAGCCCCCAAGAGGGTCCCCAAGAGGGTCCCCAGACGGACCGAGAGGGCCCCCAGACGGCCCAAGAGGCCCCAAAGACGGCCCAAGAGGCCTCCAGGAGGTACTTCAGGACGGCCCGAAGAGTCAAAAATCATTGAGTGTCCTGAGGCGTAAGAAGAAGCTTGACATTTGCTTCAAAGCGGTCTTCCGACGGCCCAAGACGGCCCAAGAGGTCTTCAATCTCGCCCCAAGATCGCCGAAGAGGCCTCCAAGATGGCCCCAGGACGGCCAAGAGGCTCCCAAGACGGTCCCTAAAGAACCCCAAAACGGCCCAAAAGGCATCCAAGAGAACCAAGGTGGCATTCAAGACGACCGAGAAGCTCCCCGAGGGGGCCCCAAGACGGCCCGGAGAAGCTCCCAAAACAGCTTCGGACGGGCCAGCAGGAACGCCGTAAGACGGCCAAAGAGGCGCCCAAGAAGCCCCCAAAGGCCCCCAAGAGGCCCGAGGAGGCCGACAAGAGGCCACCCAAAGGCCCCCAGGAGGCTCCCAGGAGGCCCAAAGAATGACCCAAGAGGCTCCCAAGAGATCTCCTCATCGGTCTCATCCTTCTCCTCCTCATCCTCCTTTTTCCTCCATCTCCTCATCCGCCTCTTCCTCCCCCACGTGTTCCCCGAAGAGTTTCCACAACGGCAGGGGGAACGCATGGTCCAATAGCGTGGCCAGACGTTGCCCAGGCGTTTGGCCACATAGGCGTACCATAAAAGGCAGGGGGCGGCGGTGATTCGCCGTAAGCGTCTTCGATATCTGGCTCCCCATGACCATCCTCATCATAATCCGTTTCATGGCCCTCGCCATCACACATAAGGATCATCATCATCATCATCATCATCATCATCATCATCATCATCATCATCATCATCATCATCAGCATCAGCATCACCATCAGCATCAGCATCATCATCATCATCATCATCATCATCATCATCATCATCATCATCATCATCATCATCATCATCATCATCATCATCATCATCATCATCATCATCATCATCATCATCATCATCATCATCATCATCATCATCATCAGCATCATCATCATCATCATCATCATCATCATCGTCATCATCATCATCATCATCATCATCATCATCATCATCAGCATCATCATCATCATCATCATCATCATCAATCATCATCATCATCATCATCATCATCATCATCATCAGCATCATCATCATCATCATCATCATCATCATCAGCATCAGCATCAGCATCAGCATCATCATCGTCATCATCAGCATCATCATCATCACCACCACCACCATCATCATCATCACCACCACCACCATCATCATCGCCATCAGCATCACCATCGTCATCCTCATCATCACCATCAGCATCAGCAGCATCATCATCAGTATCAGCATCAGCATCACCATCAGCATCATCAGCATGGGCATCATCAGCATCACCATCACCAGTACCTACATCACCAACATCATCACTGTGACAGCAACTCGCCAATCATGATCAGCATCAGCACCGTAAACAGCTACATCGTCATCAGTATCGGCATCATCAGCATCGTCAGCATCGTCATCGTCATCGTCATCGCCATCATCACCATGATCATCATGAAAAACATCACAGATACTCATCATCATCAGCAGCATCATCGACTTCATCATCATCAAAATCAGCAGCATCATCATCGTCATCATCACCATCATCAGCATCATCAGCATCGTCATCAGCATCAGCATCATCGTCATCGTCATCATCACCATCATCAGCATCACCATCAGTATCAGCAGCATCCATCATCATCATCATCATCATCATCATCATCATCATCATCATCATCATCATCATCGGCGTCATCATCAGCAGCAGCATCAGCAATATGGCGCATTAGCATTAGCAGAATCACCAGCATCACCATCA